AGTTACTGGGTATCAGACAGTGACAGAGCTCCCCTGTATAGGTAGTTACTGGGTATCAGACAGTGACAGAGCCCCCTGTATAGGTAGTTACTGGGTAACCCAGTCAGGGAGGGGGAGGTAGTTACTAGGCCGCAGTGATGGCGGGCCCCGCGGTTGCCGTATTATGACGCAGTGAGCAGCGCGCGGACACGGTGTGACCCAGGCTCCGCGCCCCGCCATTCATTACCCGCAGGCCCAGCGTTCTACTCACCGGCCGCCATGTTGCTGGATTCCCTCCCCTTCACCACGTCACGGACGCAGACTGCCCGCTACTTCCTGTGGGCGTGCCCGGGGACGGATCCACAGCTTCTCGCGGGGGGGGGGAGGGGAAGGTAACCGCCGCGCGGCACACCCAACCTTCACACGAGTTCACCCACTCAGCGTCACCGTGGAATCGGTTATCTACGGTGCAACATCAGAGAGAAAAAAAGCTGCTTAAACCAGTAAGATATGGGCTGCCACCCCTACGGAGGTCAGGAATGGTATCGCCTGATAAAGGGCGGGAACGCGGCGAACATGTGTTAGTGTGTCATTGGGCAGAGCAGCTGTCTGTCAGAGTGAGGGGGAGGAGCTACCATCTCGAGAGCGGGACGTCATCTGCCAGTGGGTGACGTTGCACACCGACGTGAGCTGTGAGTGATGACGTTGCATGGAGTGTGTTATGGCGGCGGCTGTAACTTTATTAACATTCATAGAGTGTGGGTGATAGGACTCAGCTGGTGTAGGCTCAGTGTACCCAGCATGCAATGGGCTTACCTTCAGGGCAATGCATCATGGGAAGCCAATGTAATATGGCTGACGTGCCAAGCTGTGCCTTGACAGCTCACAAATGGCACAACATGGTCTGTAGAGCTGTGTAATGGCTCTGGCTGCTCTCATAGGCAGCTGCCATGGTAGTCATTATTGATCTTAACCACATACCTCCCAAGTGAACTTATTTTTGAATCAGATCCCTCTGGCCCTCTTTTCTAGGAGCTCCATATTGTTGGTGTATAACAGAGCTCCACAGCAATAATACTCCCAGTAATGTATGCAGTAGCAGCAGAGCTCACATGCCACTCCCAGTAATGTGTCTGGGTGTATAACAAACTCAACAATAATACTTATTAATGTGTCTAGCAGAGTGTAGAAACAGAGCTCCACAGCAATGGCCTCCCAGTAATGTGTCTGTAGCGCAGCAAAACTCCACAGTAATAATACTCCCAATAATCTGTCAAAAGAGTGTATAACAGAGCTCCACAGCAATAATATACAGTAATGTGTCTGTGTATAACAGAGCTCCACAGTAATAATACTCCAATGTAATGTCACAGGTGTATAGCAAACTCCCACAGAAATAATACTCCCAGTAATGTGTCTGAGTGTATAACAGAGCTCCACATTAATAATACTCCCAGTAATGTGTCTGAGTGTATAACAGAGCTCCACAGAAATAATACTCCCAGTAATGTGTCTGAGTGTATAATAGAGCTTCACAGAGATCATACTCCCAGTATTGTGTCTGAGTGTATAACAGAGCTCCACATTAATAATACTCCCAGTAATGTGTCTGAGTGTATATCAGAGCTCCACAGCAATAATACTCCCAGTAATGTGTCTGAGTGTATAATAGAACTCCACAGTAATAATACTCCCAGTAATGTGTCTGATAGCAATAATACTCCCAGTAATGTGTCATAGTGTATAGCAGAGCTCCACAGCAATAATACTCCCAGTAATGTGTCTGAGTGTATAACAGAGCTCCACAGCAATAATACTCCCAGTAATGTGTCTGAGTGTATAACAGAGCTCCATAGTAATAATACTCCCAGTAATGTGTCTGAGTGTATAACAGAGCTCCACAGCAGTAATACTCCCAGTAATGTGTCTGAGTGTATAATAGAGCTCCACAGCAATAATACTCCCAGTAATGTGTCTGAGTGTATAACAGAGCCCCACAGCAATAATACTCCCAGTAATGTGTCTGAGTGTATAACAGAGCCCGACAGCAATATTACTCCCAGTAATGTGTCTGAGTGTATAACAGAGCTCCATAGCGATAATACTCCCAGTAATGTGTCTGAGTGTATACCAGAGCTCCACAGCAATAATACTCCCAGTAATGTGTCTGAGTGTATAACAGAGCTCCACAGCAATAATACTCCCAGTAATGTGTCTGAGTGTATAACAGAGCTCCATAGCAATAATACTCCCAGTAATGTGTCTGAGTGTATAACAGAGCTCCACAGCAATAATACTCCCAGTAATGTGTCTGAGTGTATAACAGAGCTCCACAGCAATAATACTCCCAGTAATGTGTCTGAGTGTATGACAGAGCTCCACAGCAATAATACTCCCAGTAATGTGTCTGAGTGTATAACAGAGCTCCACAGCAATAATACTCCCAGTAACGTGTCTGTGTGTATAACAGAGCTCCACAGTAATAATACTCCCAGTAACGTGTCTGAGTGTATAACAGAGCTCCACAGCAATAATACTCCCAGTAACGTGTCTGTGTGTATAACAGAACTCCACAGTAATAATACTCCCAGTAACGTGTCTGAGTGTATAACAGAGCTCCACAGTAATAATACTCCCAGTAACGTGTCTGAGTGTATAACAGAGCTCCGCAGTAATAATACTCCCAGTAAAGCCACAGCGACTGTGGGCAGAAGTGCTGCAGTTTGTCCCCTGTTCCAGCTAGGAAGCGCTCCTGGGCGAAGGTACCCAGCCAGGGGTACAGGGAGCTCCATCACAATCTATAATTTGCCTCTTTTACATTAAAGGGCTTCTATAATGCTAGGAATACAAATCTGTATTTCCAGTGGTGTATTCTGGTTTTGTGCTGCTCTAAGCGTAACAAAACTCGGGCACCCCTCTCCCCCCTTGCAAATTTCTCTTCCTGACAGACACGCCCTCACTGATGCATGCACTGACAGGTACACATTCATTAAATAACAATGGAGTAAGGAGCAGAACCATCAATAGTAATAAAACAATCTTTATTAAGTGGGTATACTCTATAAAAATATCACATAACATAAAGATCCAAAATATAGGATCATATCACGCTATACAGCAATGATCAGAAAAATTCTGAATATATATGTATGTACGCCAAAAGCGTCTTATATGAATAACAGACTCTCAATATACAAAAAATAGAGAAAAGAAATAACGGTCTAATCCAACCCCACAAACATAGACATAAATATACAAATATATATATAACAATAAGCATACCAGACCTAGTGAGAAGCAGGGACAGAGTCAGTCACAAAAACACCCCCAACGTTTCGGCAAAAATGCCTTTATTAATTTTTAATTAGATACACATTCATTGTCACACGCAATGTTTAACCAACACACACTTTCACTGAAACATACACATTCACAGACATACGCACACACTCATTCACAGTTACACTCACTCACATTCACTGACAGACACGCATTCACCGACAGCCACATACATTCACTGACAAGACACACTTACTGACAGAAATGCATACACACTCACTGACAGATGCACACTCACTCAGTGTCAGACACACACACACACTCACTGACAGATACACACTGACAAACACAAATATACAACACTCACTGACAGACATATATACACTCAGTGTCAGACACACACTGATTGACAGACACATACACTAGCTGAAAGACACACACTAACAGACATACACATTCACTGACAGACACATAGTCTCAGTGACAGACATGCATACACACAATGACAGGCATGGATACACATGCTGAAACACGCATACACACACTGACGCACGCATACACACACTGACAGACACACACTCTCAGTGACAGATACACACATACACACTTAAATAGTTACCAAAAAAGCATGCTAAACTGATATTTACCAGAGCCCTATTACCCCTGGCTCTGGGTTTGCAGTGCTCCATTTGAGAGGGAAGATTCCCACACTGATAGAACTCCAAGTGGTGTACTCACTGGAAACTGTTGGTACTGTGCTATATAGGATAGATAGAGACAGGACCTCCAATTGAATAGTATCAAATACAGTTTATTATTTAAAACTGTTAAAAACTCTTACTTTGCGAGTGGTGGGTTATGCTGACATAGCTACCCACATAAAAGCATGTAAAACAGCAAACAGAAAGTCACTTCCTGGTTTCATCCGTCCTGATCACATGGTCACTTCCGGGTCCGCCTCTCTCGTGACGTGTGTGTGACGCGTTTCGCCCGCCTCCACAGGCTTCCTCTGACCGTTCAGTTTTTTTTTAAACTGCAATGTTTTACATTGAGGACTAAGTGTGACAGGGACACTGCACCCTGGCCACTACAATAAGATAAAATGGTCTGGGTGACTATAGTGTCCCTTTAAATGTACCCACACCTTATTATATATAATTTTGTTCAGGTGAAACAAAATGTCAGGAAGTTCCCCTGATCGCAATCGACACGGAGGGTGAGTATCGAGGTTTGGGGGTACTGATCTTTAGGGAGTGCTATGCCGCCTACAACAGGTGGGCTCTAATGCCCTAGGGTTTCACCTGAACAAAATGATATATAATAAGGTGTGGGCAGGGGAGGGCTGGCAGCCTTAGGCCTGGGGGGCAAAACCAGTCAAGTGGCCCATTGCACCACCAAATCAGTGTCACGGTTCTCACCTGATAGACAGACGGCAAGACGTGGTCGCTCTTGGAGTTCCCAACAGGGGACTTGAACCGGGGATCTTCTCAGTCCTGGTCCTGCTTTCTACCTCTGAGCCACAGCAGCTATTTACAGTGAAGACTGATTCCAGTCCTGTTCATCCTGACATGGCTACTACTCCGGGGGCTGCACCTTGACTTGGCTGTGTTTCACCTGACTCTGATCAGTCATCAGCAGGGTATATAAACCCAGCCTCGCCCTGTGCTCAGTGTCAAGTCTTTGATCCTGTTTGTTCCAGTGTTCCTGTTTCATCGCTTTGCATTATTGACCCCGGCTTCCTGACTCGTTTATTCTGACTTCTGGCATCCCTTGACTTCGGCTACTCCTCGTTGTTCCTGTCCTCTGGCATCCTTTGACCTCGGCTATCCCTCGACCATCCTGCTGGTTCAGTCCTTGCCTGTCCTGCGTATTGGTACTGCATCCTGCACAGACCCACAGGCCAGGTGAATTCTTACCTGACCACCTCGGCCTGTGGCTATCTGCAAGGGTGAGCATCATATCTGCGCTACAGACTCCCAACTCAGGTAAGACCCTGACAATCAGTTCACCATCCATGCCCACCTCCTCCTCTCTCTCCCATGCGCTGCTCTGTAGGCTGGGAGGAAGTGAAGATTAATCACATTCTCCAAGCACAGCGGCATCTGTGGCTGCATGGGGAACAGCTGGTTAATGTAATGCTTGCAGGACGGCCAGCTGCCGCAGAACCTCTTTGTTCCCGTCTCTGCAAAGGGCTCCAGGCACTGCTTGCTGTGAGTGTGAGCCACTGTAAATTAGGGGCAGAGGGCACTTGCTCTGCAGTATAGACGGGTGTGGGTAGGAGGAGAGTGCTGTGCAATCAGTGCACTCCCCTCCTGTGGGTCACCAGTAGACTGGTGCACCTGCCCAGGATCAGAGCCGGTGCAAGGATTTTTGCCGCCCTAGGCAAAAGAAAAATTTGCCGCCCCCTCATGTGACGTCACAATGCCCCACCCATATGATCTGCCATATGAACTAATGCCAGTGCTGCACACAGTGTGTGTTTACATTAAAAAGCCTGCAGGGACCAGCTATAGACAACAGAACCACTTCATTAAGCTGAAGTGGTTCTTGGGACTATAGTGTCCCTTTAATGTGAGGCTGTTTGCAACTGTGGTCACAAAATTCAATGTTCTGGGAGAATTGGAAGCAGCTCAATTTTTTGGGGGCCCCTTACACAGCTCAAGGTCTGGGCCCCAGGGCCTGACGGTGAGTATACCCATAAGGCCCACTCATAAGTTCCACCCACCCATGAGTTCGCTCACAGGGAGTGGAGTGTGTAGGGGATGTGTTATGTGTTATTGTAGAGGATCTAATGTGTGTGCTTATGGTATGTAGTGTATAGGGATACCAGTTTGTGTAGAAGACGCAGTGTGTTTGTGTGTAGTGGAAGCAGTGTGTATTTGTGTATAAGGGATGTATTGTGTGTTTCTGGTTGTGTGTAAGGGATGCATTGTGTGAATCTGTGTGTAATGATAAAGTTTTGGAGTCCAGTAGCCAGATCAGCAATGTTTTCTGCCAGAGGTAGCCACTCGTTACCCAGGTGGTTGAGCTCCTTCTGGTTTTGAGCAGAGATGGGAGACTGGAACAGAAAGATGATAATCGTAGTGAGGCAAGCCGAGGTCAGTGGGAAGGAGAAGCAGCAAAGTCAAAACGGTCCAAATTCAGCAACAGGTAGGAGAAACAGGAACACGCTGGATTAGAGAGTACATGAACCACAATAATCTGGCAAAGGTACAGAGACAGAAAGTGGCTTATATAGGAAAGAACCAGACAACTGACCAGACACAGCTGACGAGAGTTGTCACTGATATCATTGCTTGTAGAGTCAAGGTTATCAGATCTCAGATAAATTTGCAAAAGACAGGCTGGTGTATTGGTAAGGAAGATATTTAGCAGCAGAGTCAGTTCCTCACATTATGTGAGAAGAGGGGAAAACGAGAGCAAAAAAATCTATATTTATATATTACACATTTAGGCATTATATGCGTGCGTACTACTGGGATATTTAAACATACATCCTAAAGGATGGTTAATTGGGGTGAAGCATTAACCCTCTACTGTCAGGGGGGGGTAATGGCCCAATACGCAGAATCAAGTCAACTAGTATTACCAGTCCTTAGAATGGTCGGACTTAACGTAGAAAGAATAGTCAGATTCTTTCTGACTATTTTCACAGTGAGAATCACGCGAGCGCCTCTAGCGGCTGTCAATGAGACAGCCACTAGAGGCTTTGAGGGCTGGATTAACCCTTTTATAAACATAGCAGTTTATTAAAAAAATGGGTTAATCCTAGAGGGACCTGGCACCCAGACAACTTCATTAAGCTGAAGTGGTCTGGGTGCCTAGAGTGGTCCTTTAAATTTGAAATTCACTTTGAAATCTCACTTTACTGAATAGCAAAGAAGTTCTTTAATGAAGATAAGGTACAAATGCATAAATATGTATTTTCAAGAGGTATGAGGATCAGCTATGTGATTGACAGCCAGGGTAGGTGGAGCAAGGATTGCAGAAATTAGTCATTAAAAGGAATGACCTAAACACCAAAATCACTTTAACTTAATGAAGTGATTTTAGAACATAGTCGCTGCCCCTTTAGCCTTGAAAAAGAAAACTGTGCTGTTTTTGAGAAGTTACACTGTTTACATTTTGCAATATTATCGACTACTAATGGATGTCAGATAGCCATTAGGGTCCTCAAGCTGAAATAGGCTCTAAAAAAATTCAATTATTTAATTGTTATGTATCCTTTATGCACCTCCCCAATCCAGTGGTGTATCCTGGTTTTGTGCTGCCCTAGGCAGGACAAAACTCAGGCACCCCCCCGCGCCACCCCCATCCGCGCAACCGCCACCCAACCTTCCCCCCTGCTCCGCCTTCTAAATACACACACACACATTCACTGACAGATACGCATTCACTAGCTAACAGAAACACACACTCACTAACAGACACACACTCACACACTCACTAACAGACACACACACTCACAGGCAAACACACACACTAACAGACATCCACACTAACAGACATCCACACTAACAGACATCCACACTAACAGACATAACACTAACATACATACACTAACATTAACATACACACTAACACTAACAGACACACACACTAACACTAACATACACACACTAACATACACACACTAACAGACACACACTAACAGACACACACTAACATACAAACACACACTAACACTAACAGACATCCACACACACACTAGTGTTTTTTTTAGTTTTTTTTTATTTAACCCCCCCCCAGCCTCCTTACCTTTGGTAATGCTGGGGGGGGTTCTTCCTCTCCCTGGGGTCCAGTGGCTGCAGGGCGGGCGAGCGGCCGGCGAGGGAGCTCTTCCCCTGAGCGCTCTGCTCAGCTCCCTCGCGCGCCGCCAGCAGAGTGAGGCTGGGAGCCGGAATATGACGCCATCAACCCGGCTCCCAGCCTCACTCTGCTGGCGGCGCGCGAGGGAGCTGAGCAGAGCGCTCAGGGGAAGAGCTCCCTCGCCGGCCGTCCGCCCGCCCAGCGCCCAGAATGTCTGTTAGCCGCGAGGCTAACAAGACATTTGCCTTGGGCATTTGGGGGGCGGCGTTTTTTGCCGCCCCCTGAAAAATGCCGCCCAAGGCAAATGCCTTGTTTGCCTCGCAGCTAATACGCCCCTGCCCCAATCACAACAAGTGTTTATGAATAGTGAGGAGAGATTGTGTTTATGCATAAGGCCGGACATATGATTGTAGCAAAGCAAAAAAAACTAAGTTTACTGTTTCTTGTTTCTTTACTTTATTAAATAAAGACTTAAAGGGCTACTGCAAACCTTACAACTATTGTGTAAATACCATGCTATACAAAATACATATTTTTCATTTAGGCATGGCAAAACCGCTTTAAAATAATGTATTTTTTTTATCAAGTTTTGAAAGGAAATGTATGTTTTTAAGAAAAACGTATCCCTACAGGCACATAGATGAGTAACGAAGCGGGGGGGAGGGAAGAAGAAAGGTTTAGCTAGTGCAGATTTGCCCATTTGAGTGAAGATGTTGGGAGCATCAGCTCAGGAGTAGCTGTACTGCAGGAAGCTGTTTCTTCTAACAGTCGTGGGAACAGCCCCTCTAGTACGGGTGGGGTTGAGAGGGTAAGGAAGGCTAGACAGGTTGTGGTGGTAGAGGACTCTATCATTAGAAGGGTAGATAGTTTAATCTGCCACTCTGATTGGCTCAGTTTGCTGTCTCCCGGGTGCTCGGATCCGGCATGTTGCCGACAGAGTGGAGGGATTATTGGGAGGGGCTGGGGATAACCCAGCTGTCATGGTCCATATTGGTACCAATGACAGTCAGAGGAAAATAGAAGGTCCTAAAGAATGAGTTCAGGGAACTAGGAAGAAAGCTAAAGAAAAGGACCTCCAAGGTAATATTTTCAGAAATATTACCTGTGCCGCGTGCTACAGCAGAAAGACAGCGGCAGCAAATGCGTGGCTGAAGTCTTAGGTGCAGGAAAGAGGGTTTTGGGGTTTTAGAGCACTGGTCCAATTTTGCGCTTGGGTACACCCTGTATAGTCCTGATGGATTGCACCTAAACGGATGAGGGTCTGCTGTGCTGGGGGATAGGATGGCTAGAAGGTTGGAGGAGATTTTAAACTAGTAGTGGGGGGGTGGGCGGGGGGAGTATGCTGATTCTGAAAATGTAAGTTTTATGTGAATGTGATGTATACTTTTGGAGTTATAAATATTGTGTAAAACTGTGTATTTTCCTGCCTGTGATAATTACGTTAGCCCATTGTGTTCAGTAATTATATCACAGGCAGAGAGGAGGATTTTGTATGGGAGTGTCTGAGTGTATTGTACGTATTGATTGGTTGTACTTCAAAACTCTGTGGGCGGTACTATGTTTGTAGAATGGGCATAAAAGCAGAGTGTTTGAATAATCAGTTCTGCTTCACCTTCAATTTGGAGTCTTGTCTCTTATTAGGGGAATCTGCTACAAGGGATTGCTATGCTCTGCATATTCCGTTGCTATAATCACTACTAAGCTCTTGTAAGAGCTTGTTCATGCCTTGCTCTCTGGAGGAGTCTACGGTGGTTATGGTGTTGGCTGGAGTGTTTGGAGCCCTCATGAGGTGCTAGTAGCATCCTTCAACGGAGGTACCCAGTCGGGGTGCCAGGTGATCCGTTACATTGGGGTATGTCAACCATGAATTAAAGTCAAATCTTATGCATGTGGAGTGTGACGAGAAAAATGTGGAAGCCTTATGGGTAAATATCTGCTTGGGGCAAACAAAGTGAAACCAATTATTGGGATATGTTATAAACCACCTAATGTAAATATTAATGAGGAAGAACAGCTGTTAGAGCAAATAGGGAAAGCTGCAAATCGGGGAAACATGTTAATTATTGGAGATTTTAATTACCCGGACAAAAATTGGGATAGAGGGACTAGTACTTCAGCAAGGGGAATCAGGCTTTTGAATGTGTTAAATGACACCTTTATGTCACAACTGGTACAAGCACCAACTAGAATGGATGGTTGTCTGGATCTCGTTATAACAAACAATGTTGATCTTTTGACCAACATTCAAATAGGAGAGCATTTAGAAATAGTGATCACAATATGGTAATTTTTTTAATAAATTCAAAAAAGCAAAAGCACGTTGGGTGTACGTAAATATATATATATATATTTTTTTTTTTTAAAGCCAATTTCAATAAGGTTAGGGCAGCTCTACAACATATCTACTGGCATAAACTCCTTAGTGAAAAAAAAACTAAGGATAAATGGAAAGTATTCAAACAAATATTAGAAAGGTACATGGTCTCAGTATGTACCACTGGGTAATAAGTATAAAATAAACAAATTGAAACCAATGTGGCTTAATAGAGAAGTAAAACAAGAGATTAAAAATAAGAAAAGTGCATTTAAAGCATTTAAATCGGACAAATCAGAGGATCCTATATAAGTGGCTAAACTAGAAAATGAGAAATCAATAGCCAAAGAATGCAAAACCAACCCCCAATTTTTCAAGTACATCAATTCTAAAAAACAAGAAATGAAAGTGCAGGTACACTGGAAACAGAGAGGAGTCTGTTAGTTAATGAAGACCAGGAAAAGGCAGATATATTAGATAACTGTATTTAATCTTTCAAGATTATTTTGTTTCAGGTATTGTACCGGAGAATTGGAGGAAGGCAGATGTTGTTCCTATATTTAAAAATTATAGATCTGTGAGCTTAACGTCTGTGACTGGGAAAATATTTGAAGGGCTATTAAGTGGTAGTGAATTAGGGATAACCACACACGAGAAGGACTTGGGAATTGTTATAGACAACAAATTAGGCAGCAATATGCAATGTCAATCTGCAGTTGCTAAGGCCAGTAAGGTTTTGTCATGTATAAATAGGGGCATAAATTATCAGGATGAAAATACCATTTTGCCTCTTTATAAATCACACCTTGAATATGCTGTGCAATTTTGGGCACCTGTTCTAAAGAAGGATTTCATGGCACTAGAAAAAGTGCAGAGACGAGCTACAAAATTGATAAAAAGAATGGAGCATTTTAGTTACGAAGAAAGGTTAAAAAATTTAAATCTCTTTCGTTTGGAAAAACGGCACCTCAGAGGGGATATGATAACATTATAAAAATATATTCGGGGCCAGTACAAACTATTATCTGGAAATGTATTCATAAACAGGGCTATACATACGACACGAGGTCACGCATTTAGGCTGGAAGAAAGGCGATTTAATTTAAGGCAAAGAAAAGGATTTTTTTTACAGTAATAACTATATGGATATGGAGCTCTCTATCTGCCCAAAGAGGTGGTTTTATCAGAGTCCATACAGATGTTTAAACAGCAATTGGATAAATACTTCCAAAAACATAACTGTGGCGAAACCAACCTCGCCACTGTGAACTGGAGAAGCCTGGTTGCTCGCCTGCTCCCTTTGGACTATGGCCCTGCAGGTTAAACCGTTTATTTCCCCTGCAGAAAGGCTTATTTGTGTGATCTGAGTGCCATTCATCTAATAATGTGCACTCAGATCCCAACTATCTGGGGATATGTGAAATGTCTGTGTGTTATGTGTAAATGTGACTTTATGTATTTTAAAGTGTTTTGTGTCTTTTTGCAACCATGTGCTTAATGGAGTCTTGTGTCTATCCTGGGAGATAATTGAATTACTCTCCAGGATAGAAGACTCTGAAACTGGTTTGGGCCAGAAAGCCATGCTTCATTTAGTCACAAAGGACTTTTTACTAACTTTTGAACCCCTGGTCTGATTTGTGCCATTTTTGAATATGTTGTTCCCCTGAATGGATTGATTGTGAATATGTAATTTTATGTGAATGTGATGTATGGTTTTGGAGTTATGAAAGTTGGGTAGAAAGTATGTTTTAACTGTATGTATAATTGAGTTTCCTCTCAGGATAAGGGGAGGGAATGTGTGGGATGTAACTGATATGTGATTGGTTGTTTTGTAACGCCCTGTGGGCTGTACTATGTTTGTGGATTGGGAATAAAAGAGACTGTATGTGACAGTACAGAGAGTTCCTGTTTTAACCCTCAAAGTGAAGTGTCGTCTCATTATTGGGGGAAGGATTTAGTGTATGCTGTTCCAGTTTGACTGCTAGGAGAGTAAACCTATTCATATGGTTCCTATTCAACTGTCTACAGCATTCATATGCTTGAGAGGATTCATATGCTTCTCCGGTTCGGTGGTTGTGGTGTCTGCTGCAGTACTTGGAGTCCTCAGGAAGCGCTAGGAGCATCCTTTAACGGAGGTACCCAGTCGGGGTGCCAGGTGATCCGTTACATTGGTGGCAAGCGGTGGGATGGCGTCCTAGTGCAAGGTAAAGCAGCTCAGAGACACAGTTCGTTTGGAGTTACAAATTGAGGGCAACGCTAGCACACGTGCAGCGCCCCTGGGAGCAGAGGTATCCAGCGACTTGGAGCAGACAAGTATGGAAGGCTCTGGCGATGATTGGATGGCAGAGGTGAGGCAGCGAGTGGCCCAGTATGGGGATGATTTACCCATGGAGGTACGCCGGGTGATCTGGAA